AAGCAGAGTGACCATACACAGCCTTGACGTTCTCCTTTCCCAACTTGGAACCAGCCTGTTGTTCCATGCCCAGTTCTAACTGTTGCTTCTACACAGAGTCTTTAAGTATTTACAAATTCTTTACCTTAATTCAATGAATTAAGGTAACAAATTAAATGAATTAAGATAATGAATTCAATGAATTAATTCAATTAATCCTCACAAAGATAGGCATGCAAACCTCAATTATAGTGAACAAAACTGAGGGACAGAAAGGCAGAACCGAGCAAAAGTCATGTAGTATTTGTAACAGCCACAGTTGTGGCAATAAATAACAGTCATCCAATGCTTACCATGTGCATTGTTTTAATAAATTCATTCAGCTATCCAATCAAATAAAAGTGATTATTATGATCATTGTACAAGGAAATAGCAGAAGCCCCATCCTATACATGCTTTTATAAGATGTTGGCTAGGATATGAATCAATGAGTATATGTTACATCATCAGCGTTCCTATCCAGAGAAAATATGTATTTACACTTCAATTTAATGAATATTTCCAAAACAACTATTGTGCATGTATTTATTATTTCTTGGGGCTTCTGAACCGTTTTTCTTCATTCTATATTAAAAAAAAACTATTAAAAGTATATTAAAATTTTATAATAGTTTACATCCATGCCAATTATACCCAAGTTTGCAGTCTACATATTTTTTAAATGACTCATATTACTTTTTTATTTATTGATATTCATGTTATTATGCATGGTATAATCTGTATGTATATGAAGCTTACTTTATACTTACTTTATACTTTATCCTTACTATATAGTATAAAATCATGACTATTAACGTCAATGCTTCAGCTTCTTCAAAATAAATAAGGCTTTGAAAGACATATTTTGCTCATTTCAGTCCTTTCTCTTTTAGCAGTCTTATAGGAACTCATTATGAATATATGTACAATATAATTAGATTCCAATCCACTAAGGTATTTTATTCTAGAAAAGAGCAAAAAAGTCAGTTGGATTGTCTATGTTATGTGTATGTTAGAATATTTTTATTGCCAGCTAAAATCAAACGAAGAAAAATCACACAGTCTCATGAATTTTCTTGACTTCAAAGGAAATTCTCTCACATAAGCTTAAATTTTCTTTAAAGCAAATGTTAAATAAGGGCTGAAGAAGTAAATTTATTTGGGGAGAAAAAGTTAGTCACCAAAGTATTTTTGACATGAAAATGTGATAAAAGAATGACAGACTGATGTGAAAAAGAGGGTTTAGGCATACACAGAAAGTATCTTCCACCATATGTTTATGTAATGAGGCCAAAAAATCAAATTGTTTTAGCTATAAGGAAAGCATTGTATTTAAAATAAGTATTCCTTATTTCAACTGAAAGAATTCAATGAACTGCTTTAGATGTTACTATTTACCAAATACTGTGACAGCAACTTAGTGTATAAAATTACATCTACTTGAAATGTTTAAATCTAGATTAAAATATAATTATATGAAACATTATGAGATAATTTCAATACAGATGTTTGAACAACTTATACCAATGAGTTTTGAGAAAGTAAAGGGAATAAAGTAGCTAAAGGAGGGGTAATTCATCTAATTTACTGCATTATTTTTAATAGCTAATGTAGGTAGATGTTTATCATATGCTATTCATTTAGATGAGCTGTCTATATTCCTTTTATTGTTTAATCCTCAATATGCAACATCATAAGAATCAATTACTACTACTGCAATTATTGCTATTGTATTATATCCTGAGTTTGTAATGAGGAATATTTGGATTAGAAAGATTTGATGTCTTTTCCATGTGGATGGTGGAGCAGAGATTATAAACCACAGTCATCTAATTCCAAAAGTTACAGATAACATATTATCCAAAGTATGAATTACAATTAGAGTGGAGAGTGAAAGAATTGTGGATAGTATTTGCCCTGTTGATGGTGATGTTGATGCTTAATAGTGTGTATGGTATTGTGCAAATGGGTGTAGGAAAAAAATAGATAATACAGTAAAATAGAAAGTCACTCCAGGAATGTATAAAGACATAAATTATTGCAGCATGTGCAGGAAAGAAACATATTTTTTATCTGACATGAAGGTACTGTATGAAGATAACTTTAGCAAGTTGCATAGTTAGAAAGTAAAATAAGTAACTGTGGGATAATCAAACTGGTAAGCAGGAAGTCCACTGTGAGCAGTAAGATGCAGCCCCATTGGCTGAATGCCTAATAGCTGCCTAATCCCCACAAGCTATTCTTCAACTCTGCCCCAAACAAACCCCCATCAGTACTCCAAAATGGTTAAGGGACCAGAAAAATCCCCTACTGGCCGACTAGAGGGACATTCCTCACTCTACAACATGGGCACATCTGATGCTATCACGTCCTTAGATAACCTTTGGTGGCCTCATTAATACTTCATAAATATTCTATGAATACATACATTTAGCTATAACAGACTGAATCATGGTAAGAACATGCACAGCAGAGCCTCCTGTTATTTAACCTGCAGCTGTCAGTTAAGACTGTTAATCAACAATCTCCTGGATTATGACAAAAATCTTGCTTTATAAAATCTATACTCCAGGCCTCTGGGGCCACTGCCTTCCCTGTGTTGGCCCACCTCTCTTTTAAGGTGTTCTCTCTATTCTCTCCTTTTCTTCAATAAACTCTCTTGCAATAGGTAAGACCCCAAATTCTTCTTTGCATCCTTACCAAGAACTGAGGTTCACAGGAAGAGGGATCTCCAAACTCTCTTCTTATAAGAAGATCAGAGAAGCTACTATATAAAAAATATGAACCTTCATATTTTCCTGAAGAATATTAGGAAATAACTGAAGCACTTGAAGGAGGATGGTAGAGCAGTCATATTCGTGTTACAGAGTATTCTTCTGTATGAAAAACATCCTTTATTAAGCTTACTAGATATAATTTACACACATTAAAAAGCACCTGAATATATATACTGGCATAACTAACAACATCACCCCCAAATATTCCCTCATTCTCTTTAGCAATCACTCCATAACACCATAGACAAAAATATACTCAAAATCAATTAAAGACCTGAATAAAAGATCAGATACTATAAAACTCTTAGAGGAAAAAAAAAAGGCAGAACACTCTGACAGAAATCAAAGCAGGATCTTTTTGACCCACCTCCTAGAGTGATGAAAATAAAGACAAAAATTAACAAAAGGGACCTAATTAAACTTACAAGATTTTGCACAGCAAAGGCAACCATAAACAAGATGAAAAGAAAACCCTCAGACTGCGAGAAAACATTTGCAAATGAAGCGACCTACAAGGGATTAATCTCCAAAATACACAAACAGTTCATGAAGCTCAATATCAAAAACAAACAACCCAATCAAAAAATGGACAGAAGACCCAAATAGACATTTCTCTCTTTAGCAATCAAACTCACGCATCTTCAGACCCATATAACCAATAATTTACAGTAGCCAAAACTTGAAAGCAACCCAAACAGCCATTAACAGATTGGATAAGCATCTATTTATGCTATGGGATTTTTGTTTTTAGTAATGAAAAATGATCAACCACAATGCAGGCAGCAATATAGAAAAATCTCAAGAGCATTAAGCACAAAAGAAGCCAGGCACAAGAAAACACATTTACATGATACTCCCAAACAGCAAAAATAACTACAGAAAAGATCAAGAATGCAGGACTGCTTGAGGTAAGGAGATTGTTTCAATCGTTTGATATGAAAACCCTTAATTATGGAGGTAATGATAGTTTTTGTGATAAGCAGATATGGGAGGTTAAATTTCCTGCTTTTGTATGTTACTACTAAAACTTAAAAAAAAAAACATTAGTTTTGACATCTAGATACTTGAAGTTCAGATTTCACTTATAGTTCTATCATGAATTAGCTATAACCTCTTTAGAAAGTAATGGTGTCTTACCAAGATTCAAAATCCCATAACCATGGTTTCAAATAAATTTCCCATTGAGTTTTAGTAACTGTGAAATGGCATGACACATATTAAAGTGTTTATTGAAGTATCTGGCTCTTAGTAAACTAATTTCAAGGGAGGAGTAGGTAGATAGTATTTCAGTACTGTTATCCTATTAATTGTTTTTTCTTACCGTTTTCAAAAGCTGAGGAAACCTCTGCTCGGTCTAGAGCCCTTCAGAACTGGGGACCCTTCCTGTCTTCTCGGTCTCTGCCTGGTTGGGTGCTGAGATGGCAGGATGACAGGCCTGGGCTGGCAGAGCTGGTCCCTGGTGCTTCGGCTTGGAGGACAGATCAGGCAAGGGGCAGGTGGGTGGGCACCGCGTGGCCCTTCAGCCTGGCTTGGTGAGGTGGTTGTCCAGGATAGATTGCTCACTGTCCAGCAGCCCATTCGGGTCTACCTCAGCCAGCTTCCAGACCTTTCCAAGGACCATACTAGGCAGCACAGACTTCACCATCTCCTACTCGGCATTGGCACTCCTGATCTGGCCACCGAAAAGTGACAGTCTGTACATCTCCTTGCAGGCAGGCTTGTCTTTGTCCACCACATACTCAGCATCACCAGGGTCCTCGCCGGAATGCATCACCGTAGTCATGCCCAAAAAGCTTGATCTGGAGCCATCCAAGGCGTGGCCCTTCACATCGAGCCAGGTATTGCCATCAGTCAGACGATGTTGTTGACCAGCATATGGTCCATCATGTCCAACAGCTGGGGCTTGAAGGCCTGGAACTTCTGCACTAACTGTCCTCCAGGTCTTGATGACTTCCAAGAACTCTTCAGAGATGACCACTTGAAAAGCATCAAAGAGCAGGATGATGCAGTCCCCATGTTTGGTAAACCGCTCCAGGTCTCTGCCATCTCATAATCTCTCCCAAAGTGCTATTTCTCTCCAGACAGGACCCCGGGAGGGTCGAGTCAGCCTATGCGGACAGCTGGGCACACATGAGTCAGTTCATGAGCTAATCTATACCGAAGAAGATGACCTTGGGAGGAGGGGGTGGGGGCCACCAGGGGCTCCTATGAGCGCATCGCAGGCCACCTCGTCCTCGTAAGGCTGGGTTGGGTGGCGGTGGCGAAGGGGTCAATGGTGTGCTTGGCCCCACACCGCAGCGCCATGAGGCCCTTCTTCATCATGTGCCTTATGAAGGTGGTTTTGCCCATGTTTGCACCAGCGCACCAGGAGACTCTTAGGTCGGAGTCGGAATCCTCCAGCACCTGCGAGTGGAACTCGCGGGAGCCGTGCTGCTCCTCCAGGGACAGCAGCTCTGGGGGTACAGTGGCCACAGCCCCTGGGCCACCATTTGGAAGAGCTCCGCCTCCTTCCTGCGGCGAGTATCCCAGCTGACCCACCTGAACGTGCTGCCTGAGAGACAAGAGGCTGGAACCGGGAAACTGCATAGAGCCCAGGCGGGGCCGACTGCAGGCCCCCGGACCAGGCAGGAGCGGCTAGCACCGCGCATGCGCACCTCTGGGCTGGCGGGGACGCCTCTCGGGTGTGGATGATCTGCTGGCATTGAGTTTGTAAACAGAGGGCTGTAGGATTTTCCCTTAAAAGAACAAGGTGAATTCATTTGACTGATTTGATATTCTACCGCTTTGGGACACATTGTGGGATGCCGGGGAAAGGTATCTTTCACTAATTTTTTTTTTTTTTTTTTAGTTTTCTGAATGTTGAGAGGTTTTTTGTTTGTTGTTGTTTTTGTTTTAAGTCAGCAAAGATTTTTATTGAAATTGCATTCAATTTTTGATCAATATAGATTTTGATTCGTGTACACAATATAAATTTGTGTACTTGAGTGCTCAGTCGCTTCAGTCATTTCAGTGGTCTCTGACTCTGCAACCCCAAGGACTGTACCATGCGAGGCTCCTCTGTTCTTGGGATTCTCCAGGCAAGAATACTGGAGTGGGTTGCCATGCCCTCCCCCTAGGTACACCCTTCACCAAAATCTTATATATGGGCTCAGAAGGTAGAGAATCCACCTGCAATGCGAGAGACCCAGGTTCTATCCCTGGGTGGAGAAGATCCCCTGGAGGAGGAAATGGCAATGCACTCCAGTATTCTTGCCTGGAGAATCCCATAGACAAAGGAGCCTCGTGGGCACAGTCAATGCGGTCACAAAGAGTCGGACACGGCTGAGCAACTAACAAACATCCCTAGATAGTATAAGTAAGGTGTTTTTATTAAGACGATCACTTTAAAAAAAAGAAAATTGCCTTAAATTAAAAATCTGGAGTGATTAGAGAACAGGGAAAATATTACTAAGTTTTTAGAGACTTAATTTATGTTATTAAAAATGTAAGAATATAACTAGGTGGACTGAGCCTTAAGAACCAGTTTGTGCTTAGTTGCCTCCGACTCTTTGTGACCCCATGGTCTGTAGCTCACCAAGGTCCTCTGTCCATGGGATTTTCCAGGAAGAATATAGGAGTGGGATGCCATTTCCTCCTCCACGGGATCTTCCTAACCCAGGGATGGAACCTGTTTCTCCTGTGGTTCCTGCTTTGGCAGGCAGATTCTTTACCACAGAGCCAGCTGGGAAGCCCTAAGAACCAATTAGCAAATAGTTAAGAAAACACACAAATATATGTATAAGACAAGTTCTAATTTAGTGCATTTATTTCTTAATTTATCATAATTTACTCGTTGATGTTTAATAAACAAGGTTTGGGAACTTACTATTTCAAAGTATTTCTTTTAAAAAGAGAACCTGGAATAATGTATTAGCCCAGACTCAAACCAGAAAGTGCTTTTACTGAGTTCATCAAATGGTCTGTCTGGTTGGGATACACAATCCATGTGTATCAAGTTCATTCCATGAACTTCAAGATGCTCAAGTTTAGTTATGTATCAAGGATGGAGTATTTCACAGCAAAGGATCAAATGGTTTGCTCCTTTATAGTTCCAACTAAATTATTCTATTCTGAAAGAAGCTAATCAAGCAGAATAAACTACTTATAAATATTACTCTCATTTATGAATTTTTGTTTTCCTATCATGGAATACAGTAAAGCTATGAAGTCATAGATGTTAAATTTTAATATACATTAAAGTTTTATAGCACATGATGGGATTCTTCTTATGTATTTTTGCACTTCCCAGAAATGACTCAGTGGTATTTTTAGTGTACCCATAAATATCTAATGAACTCTCAATCAACCACTAAGAGAAAAAAGTATTTCCCATTGCCACAAGAGGTTTTTTTTTCAAGAAATTGAATTGAAAAATTGACAGTCCAATGTGAGTTTGATACAAAACTGAAGATACATTCACACGAAAAATAATAATGTCAAATGCCACTTCATTACAATTTGATTGCATTGGACCTATTCATAAATAAGACTATTGTTCTAAAATTCCTGGAATAACATTTATGCTTTGTTAAAGGTGAAAATGTTCTGAATCAACTCTCAGAACATGAAGAATTATCTTTGATTAAAGTTGTGCCATGGAACTTTCTTTAATGATAGAAATGTTCTATAATTCTGGGTTATCTAACCTGATAGTTACTAGCCACAGGTAGCTATTAAGCACTTGAAATGTAATTAGGATAACTGAGGAATTGCCTTTTACATTTGAATTAATCGAAGTTCAAATTTAAATAGTTCTATGTGGCTAGTGGCTATTGTATTAGATAGATCAGTCTTAGATTAATAATGAGAGTTACTTCCATGTTGGACAATTGTCCACAACAGAGATTAGTAACCGTGATGGGAGGAAAGCAGATTTTTTTTTTTTTTTGACACAAGAGCAATGATGTATTCTTCCTCTGAACTTAACCTCCAAAGAGAAATCTGGCACAAATTTTTTACCAAGATTTCCCACAAGTTTTTATAGATAGAACTTGTTCTTATGATATGATGAGAAATTTTATTTTCTGTAAAAGGTATTGAGAATTGGCTTGCTTAACATAGCCTAGAAATCTTAATTAAGAACCGAACCCCACACCTCCTACCCTTTCAACTTGTATTGACTTTGTCCCTAGATATTCTTGCTCATGAATTTAGGGCTAGACACCAGTAGGTAGATACTGTGTTTGATTCAAGGAGATCCTATAAACCAATATATGATAACATAATTTACTTATTTAGGCAAATAGCTCTTCTCAAAGGAAAAATTTTGCTCAGCTGGGCAAGAGGTTTGCTTATCAGACAATTTATTAAACAGACAACTAATCAGTTTACTTACTAAGGTCATTTCCTGCCTGTGCCTACAGTCCTAAGTTTTTGAGTCAAAAATGTTTCCAGCCCCAATCACCTCATAATAAAATATTTGCCTCAAACCAGAAGGACAGGGAAGCCAAGGGTGCTGCAGTCCATTCAGTCACAAAGAGTCAAGACATGACTGAGCGACTAAGCAGCAACAAAGATGGCCCCAGACTCTGATAATCCTATATGCATTGTCCCCTGATTCACTAAGGTTCAGTCAAGATAGTGTTCTCCATACCTGTACTGGTCTAAAAACTAGGTTCAGTTCAGTTCAGTCACTCAGTCATGTCTGACTCTTTACAACCCCGTGGACTGCAGCACACCAAGCTTCCCCGTCCATCACCAACTCCCGGAGCTTACTCAAATGCATGTCCACTGAATCAGTTATGTCACCCAACCATCCATCCTCTGTCATCCCCTTCTCCTGCCTTCAGTCTTTCCCAGCATCAGGGTCTTTTCAAATGAATCAGTTATTCACATCAGGTGGCCAAAGTATTAGAGTTTCAGTTTCAGCATCAGTCCTTCCAGTGAATATTCAGGACTGATTTCCTTTAGGATGGACTGGTTGGGTCTCCTTGCTGTCCAAGGGACTCTCAAGAGTTTTCTCCAACACCACCATCCAAAATCATCAATTAGTTTGCTTAATCAATAAGTTTTCTAGTGACCTTTTTAGGGAGTCAGTATTGATATCACAGCACAGTGATATTGATAGGAATCTCTACTTAGTAATGATTAAAAATCATGCTTCATTATTTCTGGAGAGAAACAGAAAAGTTAGTAAGTCCGGATCTAAAGTTAGCCATGTTTTGTTTCACTGTTTTCTGTAAAGTGAGAATATTAGTAGTGTTAATTCCACATGGTTGTTATAAAGTTTGAACTAGTTGATCCATATGATCTACTTGATTTTCTCCCATTTAAGTTCTGAAGAGATATTATTTTTAATATTTATCCCAAGAAAAAGATATCTCATGAAATATTAATATTTTCCCAATAGAATGAAAAATACCATTAAATGTTTGCTAAGGGAGGATTTATGTATTAGTTATAATGTTATTAAATATGATGTATATTAACCATATGTAATTATATAAAGTCACACTGATTAATTATATGTAATTTATACATTAGCTATATTATACGTAATTAATGCAAAAGTTAAATAGAGGCTTTCTATTCATAAGGACATATATATTATATATACATGCATAAATTATAGTTTTTATAGAGAATAGAAAGGATGTTTTTGAGAGTAGAAAGGCTAACTCATTTAACATTTAACTTTGAGTTACAGTCTTATGCTACAATCCAGAAAACCAGAAAACTATTCATTTGTGATTTTAGATACCGACCCAGGATATGATAATGTTCCCCAAAAAGTTCATGGGAAGAAGGTGTTTGGAATAATGCAGGATTGTACATGGCCCTCCGATGTCATGCACAACTACGTTCATTCCTTTTCAGGAAAATAATTACATGCACAAACTTCTACAGCTGTCTTCTATCAGAGAAAATTTGTCATTAGAAAATACCATATTCAACTTTATATAAAAGTTATTAGTGAAATGTTGAAGAGAAATAAGGAAAACTGTGGAATTAATATACTAAAGACAGGAACTATACTGACAAATGAGAGCACATTTCAATTAACATTTGCCAGTTATGGGAAATCCAAATTCAGCTTAATCGACACCTACATCAAATCCTTTAGTCCTATAAATTAGCTCCCTGGGACACATAATTCCAGGAAAGTTTAACAGAGCCATCTATAATTGATGTCTTAGCTCTCTCACAGTATGCCAGGGAGTGCATTTAGGTGTCACTGGGCTATTTCAGCACTACTGGAGATGAACAAATTAACCAGTTGCAGATGCAATGGAGTTTCACAAAAGAGTCTATTTTAAGTTGTTATATACTTTGAGAAGATTTAGGATGAATGTATGAGATTAAGGAGTTATACAGATAATGGTAACAGATTTTATAATGCAAGAAACACCATTGCTTATTCAACTATTTGTGTCTATTAATACAAGCTCTTTATCACCATAGAAACACACAATAACTTTATTAAATCACTATATGCTTAGTGATTGTCTACATAATAACAAGTGTTAACAGCAGAGTCTAACTCTACTTGATATTGTTACTGCAACAAAATATTCAATATTTAATTTTTCAGGAGCATGCAGACTCTA